GTCAGAGGAAGGTTAAGTTACTCATAAGTAAAGTTTTCATAAAAGATTAAGTCACTCATGAGTAAAGTTTTCATAAAGAATGTGAATCTCAGGCAGGCCTTGAAGAACAGGAGAATTTAGGAAATGGAAGTGAAAAGGGAAATGTAATGATTGTGTGTGAGAAGCAAAGCAGACAAATCCAGCTGAGAACATTAAAGGAATAAACAAAAGGGAAAGCAGTAAGCAAGGGTGAGCGTCATATGGCAAGAGGATACATGCACTTCTCAGTCATTCTCCCGGCAGTTCACAGGATGAACTGAAGGTGGCTAGATGCTGTCTGTACAGGCACGTGATAGAAAGGAAGATTCTGTGATGTGTAAAAAGAGCTTTGAGATCATATTTCTGCCTTCCTACAGAGCCTCAACTATCCCCTCTTCTCTCTTTCCACAGTAGGCTCTAGCAACGCTGCAAAAACACAGAGTTCACAAATGCCCTGTAGTTTTAGACCTCCCAGTGAATACATCCTCTGTCTTCTCCAGAATGTTCTATCCACCATGCTGATCGATTTCAAATTCACCTTTCCAATTCTTCCAATTTCAATTCAAATATTACCCTGTCTATAAAACATTTCCTAAGTCCATCGAGCCACTGTAGTTGTCCTACTTCCAGGATGAAAAGTACAGGCAGTACATGGCTCCATCATAGCAATGATTTTTGCCTATTTCTCTCGTAATTATACCTAACTTGACATATTTTCCAGAGCAATTTTTGGCACATGGCAAGAGGCTAATACATGAAAGAATGAATGAATGAATGAACAAACAAACAAAAGGTAAAGGAGAGAAAAATATGGGGAAAGGACAGCCTTAGATGAAAAGGAAAATGAGAGTAAAAAATATGGAAGAATTACAGAAACTTGACAAAGCTAATGATAACAATGTAGAAGAAGCAAAACATGGAGAATGCTAAGCTTCTGAAAATGAAACAAAGAAGGGACCAGAGTAGGGCAGAAGGACTCAGACAATGTAAACACTTTAATTCTCATTTTAATTTATGTACAAAAATTTCCTGAAAAGGTTTGATAGAATCTTCAAAGTATCATTTAATTAAAATACTTTCCCTAATATCATAAATACACTCTGAGATATTAAAACTCCCATGTTAATTATCAACTAAACAGATAGAAAAATGATTTCCCACTCTTTAGAATCAGAGTTTAATAATTATGTATTATTACCAGTTCCATGAAAGTCTTATCTCTCAGTTCTCAAGCATGTAAGATTGAAATACTGAAGAATGCAACAGCAGCAGAGCAAAGACTAGGCAACAACAATAAGCTAAGTTTTTATTGCTCACACTTATTGATATTTTTTCTGGGCTATTTTCTCTTTAATAATAGAGATCAGGTACACATAAAATAATTTAGTTGTTAAAATAAAACTTGAGTGTCATCATCAAGTAGCGTACACTATCGAGTACTTCACTTGCTAGCTCAGGACAGTTTAATTACCAGAACATAATTGCTTCCTCTGCTCTATCTGCAGGCAATGGAGATAGTGATGCAGCCCTACCATCACTCTGATTTGATCATTGTGTGACCAAAATAAATTGTTTTAATTTTAATGAAGCCCTGTAGATATTCTCACAAACCAAACAAGGAGACTGTTCATAGAAAGTTGCAGAAGACCTCGAACTATAAGCTTTTGAATAAAGTGGAGCAGAAAAGTGAGTTGTAGCAATATCTGGATGAAATTAGATATCCGTATATGACATTGAGTGAAACCATGCCTGTATGCATTACAAACACCATAAATATCTGCCACTTGATTTACCAATTTTCTTAGGACTAATATCAGTGTGAAAAATGCTCAAATTAATTTTTATTTTTTATTTTTACATTCTACTGTCTATTACAGACAGCTAAGCTAAAAATTATTATAAAGCAGTTAGACAGGGTTAGGCCCTCATCACAGAAAACAACTGAGACATATTTGCTGAATGTTAACATTAAAAAGAGTGAGGCTAGGCATGTATCTCAGTGGTTCCTCGATGGCCTAGCTTGTGCAAGCTCTTGAGTTCCATTCCCAGTAGTGGGGTTGGGAGACAGAAGACATTAAAGAGAAAGAAAGTACTATACCCACATACTTTCCTTAGGGATAAATAACAGTGATTGATATTCTACATAAACATAAATCACCTTAATTGGGAACCAAACCATCCCTACCAAGTCCATTCCTTTTAAAAAGTCCATGTATGCTTGCTAAGTGACTAGCTTCCACATTTGATCTCCATTCAATCAATATTACCTGGGCGACTATACTTGTAATCTTATTGGTTGATCATGGTTTGTCCCACCCCATGCCTATCTTGTGATTTTCCAATGGATCTTATAGTTTTGTCCTACTTTGTATATACCTTACCTCATGGCTTTGCCCCATAAAACATCTTTGAGAAGTGAGGTGGGCAGACAACCCACTTTCCAGTATCTCTTCTGTTTCTCCTAGAAAGAAACTATCTTTCTCTTAATAAGTTTTTCCTACTCTTAACCTCCTTTGTTCCTAGAATTCATTCTTGGATTTTAGAGAACACAAACTCAAATTTCAGATGTCTAGCAGGTTCCCTTATTTGGATTACTTTGTGCCTATATCATGTCATTATCTTATAAATTCAGTGCTGTCAGAGACCATGTTATGACTTCTCTGTTGGACATCCTGCAGTCTTACCCCAAGGAACTGGAAAAGCTCTGTGGGACTGGGGCAGCCCGAAAGTAAATGATTCCAACCAGCCACACCTGAGCTGCACACTCAGTACCCAGACCCTGGCCTGCCAAACTAGGGCAGTTCTGTACAGCACTAACCCAGGGGCTGGAAAGAACCCACAGAGCTACTACAATGCTCATCTCTTGGGGGATGGGTCTGCCCCCAGCCTTTGGTTACTCTTATCAGAAAGCTTCATCTTCACATTATAAAGGTAATTCTTTCCTGGGAGTAACTATCGACACGCACAAAAAGCACTGACCCAACAGGATATAAGGGTTTTCCAAATAAACACCTCTAAAAAATAGATCATTTAAGGGGCAACCCACATTCTGCCTATCCCTTCTTGTCCCTCTCAGACAGGATCTGTCTCTCCCTCAATAAATTCTCCCTACATTAAAAAAAATAGATCATTTAAGTGCTACTTTTAGATCAGTATCTTTTTTTTCCTCATTGAGTTTATTGGTTAGATCAGTATCTTATCATTTTAACAACACCCAAATCTCAGCCTTCAAAAGATAACTTCTAATAATTCTGAGCTAAGAATACATGGAGAAAGGAGAAGTTGCCATGAGGGCAGATTTATTTCAGGATAGCTATTTACAGATTAAAGCTAGGAAGCAGATATTAAATTTTAAAAGTGCAAAACTTTACAGCTAGAAAGGAAAAATAACTTACCTATGTATGATTTAAATGGCATTGAATTAGGTGGGAAGATATCCTGATGTACTGATAGAAGATGCATGTAAAATGGCAGTTCCACCTGCTATGCTAGCAAAGGTAAGACTAACTAGAGAGGCAGCTTTTATTTTAACAAAATCTCCCATTTGCTATTATTTTTAAAGGAAAAGACATCACATTTATGATATTGTTTAACTTGGACTAAGAGTTAAAAAGTAAGATTTCACTGAAAATAAGAGCCACCATAATATTTTCCCACTGCTGGTCATAGAGCTTTACTTTTTCAAATTAAATTTGACCATGACCATTGTAGTCTTTACTATTGACTCATTAAACAAATATTAAGTGGCAAGCAACATACTAGATTGTTTAGAAAATGCCAAGAGAAATGAGTCCCCTTACCTTAGACAGCATTATAGTTGAATTTTATACTCCTAAAAGATTCTAATCTTCAATACATGTAACTAACTTTACTTGGAAATACAATCCTTGCAGACGATTAAGTTAAGACTAGGACATTATTGTGGGCCGTAATCCAAACTGAATGGCATTCTTAGAAAAAGGGAAAATCTGGACATAGAAATAGACAATCATAAGGGAAGACAATGGAAAGACACAGGAAGAAGATGTCATCTGCTAACCACGGCAATAGAGGCATCCAGAAGGTCGGCCTGAAATAGGAACTTCCTCACAACCCCAAGAAGGAATTAACCTGGCTACCACCTTGATTTGGGACTTCCAACCTCCAGAACTGTGAGAGGATAAAGTTCTATTATTTAAGCCAGCCAGTTTGGAGTCCTTTAAAGCAGTCTGAGGAAACTATTACAAACTGGGTAACAAAAGAAACAAGCTCAGTAACAAAATTGCCACACGCAACAGATCTAGGTCTATCTGCAGATGTTTTGGCTCAGTTAAGGAGAGCAGATTCAGTAACTAGAACACAGATTACTACTGCCTATGTCAGTTCTATAAAGGCCACGAGAGAAAAAGATGGCTCCTATCCTACGGAGCACACTGACCCAATGGGGACCATTTAATCTTCTAAAAAAGATGATTAGAAAGAAATAGAAACAATAAAAGTTAATGGAAAATTAATCTTGGTGACCTATTTGGGCAAATCAAAGTTGTGAGACATGCATTTATTTAAAAGGAAAATGCAAAGGAAATTTAGAAGGACAGTTTCAGATAAAGGGCCAGAGATAAGACTTTAATTAGAAATCTTCAGTATTCAAATATTTATATAAATGTTGAAAAGATAAAAGGCATCTGATAAGGTAATAAAGATGAACAATAGTAATAATTCTCCATTAACTCTGTAGAAGTTGCCAAGGCATTTCTAGTGTCTGGCCTTGTTTTTTTATTGGTTGTTAATGGGGGCCCTGTGGTGAGTAGTTTGCATACGCTCCCCAAATACATGCCAGATGCCCTACCATTTCTGGGCCCTCTAAAACCCAGAAATAACCAAGTAGATGCACATAGGAGAGAATGACACCAGTGGTATAATTAAGCTAAATCAGCCCCATACAGTGACAACATGCCATTTAGTCCTACTTATCATTCATGCTGCACACACCATCCTTTTACCTGAACATGGTGAGCAATCTCTCCTTCATGTGTTATAAATATGATATGTTGACTGCAAAGCACCTGTAAAACAAAGGCCATACTGTAAGAAGAATCTTCAAATATCCATTTCAGAGAGGTGATTGTACACGTGTAAGCAGATGCCATGTTTCACTTACAGAGTTCGAGCTGAACACTGCCCTTTCCATTTCCAGCCATTCCAACTAATGCCCTTGCAGAAGTGCTAACCTGGTAACAATCAATAAATGTGAAGGTCTCATCATAAATACAGCCTTTGAACTGTCAATCCTTCATAGAATATTTCTGCTTTAAAAGCACTCCTTGCTGCTAAAGTAGCTACAGTGCAGCTATTGCTAGAATCAGGGCCTCCCCAATCTGAGAACACCTAAAGAAATGAAGCTGTAAGATAATTAGGGCAGTGTAACCCACAGTGTCATTCAAAAGCAGTTTTAGGGGCTGACCAGTATTAGGTGTATTATTTTTAAGTGTAGGAATTTGTTTCAAATTTCCAAGTTGAACTGAGTTAGTTATTTATAAGTTTTCCCTCAGAAAATCCATCATTCTTGGAACTGTAAAATATAGCTGAATATTTTCACAGAACAAATTCCAGCTTTTCTAGAAAGTATTTCAAAGCCGTATTACACAAAGTGTGGTCCAAGGACCAACAGCAACATTAGCCTTACCATGGAATTTGAAGAGTTTGACTCTGAGAGGCTACTGGGACAGAATCTACATCTGAGCAAGATCCTTAGATGGTTCCTACGCACAAAAAAATCTGAAAGGCTGATTAAAGTGCTTTATTCATGAGGCCAATGGTTACTGTGATCACAAGTAAGATGTTGCCCAAAACATCAAGACTATCCTCGTATCTACAAGTTAATAGGACTCTAATTCCTGTGTTATAGTTGCATGAATCTGGGGATAAATATCCTAATAAACTTTAGAAATCCTTCACTGCTGGCTAAATCCCTTTTCATTTCCAGAACACATTAACTATAAATTGGTACCTAAAAGTATAGCCAATTTTGGAAAACCTTATTTTGTACTCAAAAGACCAGCATTATTGACACTGATGACAGATATTAATCATTCCATAATCTAGTACTCAACAGTAATCAATACTGTGCAAAGAACTCAAAGAAGATAGATAGAAACTGTGACTTGACTCAGTAGCTCCAGAAGGGAAAGGTCAGCACAGAATACCAGCAGCAGAGAAGGGCACAGGTATTTATTTGAAAAGCACCTGACCAGACAGGCATGGCTGCATTTGCCTATAATCCCAGATGGATTTGCAACAATCCCTCTGGGAGGCTGAGGCAGGAGTATCAGAAGTTTGAATCTAGTCTGCGCAATTTTGAAATTAGAGAGACCCTTCTTAAAATAAAAAAAATAAAATAAAAGGGTTACAAGGGTTGGCGATATAGCTCAGTGCAAAGGCTCTAGGTTCAATCCCCAGTATCACTAGAGAGGGAATGGGAGGGGGAAGGGGAAAAGAGTGTGTGGGGGGAGAAAACTACAAAGAGGGGAGGGGAGGGGAGAATGTGAGGGAAGGGGAAGGAGAGGGGAGGGGAAGGAGAGGGGAGGAGACGGAGATGGGAAAAGAGGGGAGAAAGCACTCAAGCATGCAAACAAGCACGCAAGCACCTGACCCGGACTTGGCATACCGAGAAGCCTTTCTGAATTGAACCTTAAAAATGTAAGGAATGATCTTTCAAAAACTGACACACTTACACTTTTTTGAGTGTGATGCTGGGTTAGGGAAAGTAACCAGGCCAGCAAAGAAAGCAGGAAATTACTGTACTTGGAAAAAATATTGGATTGAGATTTTATAGGGTTTTTTTCACCTCTTTAGAATATTTGTATGCATGAGCTGTAAACATGGTAGCCCTTGGGAAGATTTTTTCCCCCTTTTAACTCTCCTACCTGTAGTCAAGGAGGAATGGCAAACATCAAATGCAAGAAGTACTGATTCAGAAGTCTGCTGCACATGGCAAGGGGGAAGGGATAACAGAACTGTGCTTCCACATTTGCTATTTGATCACACAGAGTGTCAATGAAACTGCAACCAGCAACACAGAAACCATAAAAAGAATTGCATTAAAGTTAATACAAAAATCAGGAAAATATCTTCAGCAAGGGACACTGGCTATTTGGTAGATGCACACTGGGAGCAATTGGAAGCTCTCAGTGTGACCAAATCATGCACTCCCCTCTCTGTGCCCATCTATTTTCCCTGCATTTAAATAGTTCTTATCCTGTCTCCTTCCTGCTCACTTATTCCTGTGATTTCTCTGCCTCCTTTTCCTTCTCTTTTTCACCTCCAAGTGCCCTCCTATCTCTAATTCAGTCCTCTCTTGTGCCTTTCATCTGCCTTTATTGTCACACTTGCTTTTGTGAGAAGGAGAAGATAAGGGAAAGAAGGACCACCAAACATCTTGACCTTTTTCCTTGCTGTTGTTTCCCTTTACCTTACCCCCACACTTCTACTGCCTTCTTCTGTGTTTTCTTGCCTTTCCTATGTAAAATCTCTGTTTTTAGTATACACCTTAGAAGTGCTAGGCTAGGAAAACTGCTGGATGACTAACTGCCACTCCCACTGAAAAACCTGGTGTTCTTGGGTTTTCCTAATCTATACCATATATATATTATATTTTTTAAATGCGGACATTTAAAAAAGTGAAATAATCCAGGGCCGGGGATGTAGCTCAGTGGCGCCACTCCAACCTGAAAAGCATAAAGTCCTCATTTCGATCCTCAGCACCAGAAAAAAAAAGAAAGAATTTAGCATTTTCTTAACCTTTTTAAAAATGTAGATCAACTCTGGAGTATTCAGCTGCTTTGCTGAAAGGGAATAAAAATATAAAAATATACCAGGCAAAAGGTTTCGTTCTCTCCATGATTTTCCCTAAGTGCGTTTCCTCCAACCCACCATGAAACCGATCCTTTTGTTAGTCTTATCCTTCTTTGTGCAAAACCCAAAACCCTCCTGGAATGACTAAAACATGATTCATTACCAGTACAAGCCAGATGAATGACATGGGTCGGAGTTAACAGAGTGCTTCTTAACAAAGACACAACAGAGCACACAAAAAGCCTCATTTAATGCCCCATCAGGAAGCCTTACAAGTTACAGCTGAATAAATATGTGAAAAATATTATAATATGGAAAATGTCTGGTACCCCTTCCCACATCAAATACACTTAAGGAGAACCCACTGCATAGAGTGGTATGGCAATCTCACACATATTCTTAAAATTGCAGAAAAGCAATTTGATTTCTTTAGATATTTCAGTCTTTTACATTTAACCTATGACTTATCAGTAAACTGTGTAGAAAAGCTTGGTTTTCCCACCTTTTTATACTACTTCCTGGACATAGTCTATACTCTGGCTTATATGTTTTCAAAATATCTGATAAATAAATGAATTAATTAAACAATCAATTGAGCAATCAATGCAAGTCTTAAGACATTGAGTAGCTGGAGGAAAATATGATCACACACTGATTTACTTTAAAAATTCCCCTTAGTTATTATTTTGTCATAAGGACCACATAAGATCTGGGACGTGATTTGCCTTTAAGACCCAGGATGGGAAGCGAAGCTGCTTAGCACAGGATAGTAAGCAATCAAATGTGACAAGTAACATTCTAAAAGTAAATGAGAAAAACAGAAAACATATGAAAAGCAGACAAAAGGTATCAAAAACTACTGTGCCCTAGGATAAATTAGTCAATCACGCTCTTTGTTCCCTTATTATTACAGAAGGTCTCATCACACAATTGCATTTTCTTCAAGGGTTTCTGAGTCATACTGGGAAGTAAGGATCTAACCACTGCCCACCAATATTTCCTAGGAAAGTAAGGAAAAACCTCCAGTACAGACTAACTCCACAGATCCAGAAAGAAACTGGAATCCTATACTGAAGAAAGGGAAGAGGAGACATGATGCATTGTACTATGTCTGATAGAACCCTAGGAAGCTCCAACTCTTTGGATCACTTCCAAATGTAGGGACCAATTTAACAGTTTCTAAAACAGGGTTTGCAACGTACTCTATGTCAGTCAATCAACCAGGAGTTTAATGGAAGAGTCACTGTGGAAATCTATTATATGTTGTTCTCTCTTAATAATTTAAAAAATCTACTACACACAACTCTTTCATTTCAATATTGTTCTAGAATTTGAATTCTCTTACATCATTTTCAAAACCATGAAAGGTTATTTTTAACATTAACACCATGAACACATTGAACTGAAATCACTGCCCTTTCAGAAAAGAACTCTCTAAAAACCTAGTCATGTAAAGATAGTCCTCTATATTCACTTGGAGGATCACTGCCCCTCACAATGGAGCCAGTTTAAAAGGTTCCATGTAGTCACCTCTGAAAAGAAGCTGACCCTTTAAAGAAAAAAGCCTTGACAAGCCTATAACATATATTTTAACCCAAATCTGGTCTAGGGTCAAGGATCTAAAACCTACTAGTAGAAAAAGAAAAAAAGATAACTATCTGGAGTTTTAGGATAGTTCAGCTAAAGTATGGCTCCTTGGCCCTTAAGAAAACAGCAGAGGCAGGAAGGTCTTCCCCTGGAGCAGGTCATGAAACAAGAAACATTGCCTGATGTGAAGTGAATTCTCTGAAGTGAATAAGACCTTCATGTGAGAGGTGACCTTCCTATATGTAAAAAGAAAAAAAAAAGACAGATATGCCAAGAAGAATCTGCACACACTGTCCTTGGAAGAATGCTCCCAGTTTATGACTATTAGATCACAGCCCTTTTGTCCAATCCTGTTTCTCCAAGACTGTCTGCTTCATCACCCTGCATCAAACTGCACAAGCTTAAACTTCACTAGGGCTTATTTCCTTATGAAGGCTCCCTTGTCATATTAAACTTAAAAAAAAATTATATTTTTATCTTATGTATATATTTTTCCTTGTATTAGTTTTTTTCTTTTGTTGTTGTTAAAAGACCTTTATCTGTGAACCTAGGATAGGTGAAAGATAATTTTCCTGCCCTACCCTTTTTTTCAAGCAATACCTACACACGACTTACATTACTACAT